TCGCTCATATACATGTGTTAAAATCAAAGTTGAATGTTAAATCTGAAATTTCCGAAAGAACACAACAAAAGTATCACAAGGGAACGACAGGAAAGGGAGTCAATGTTCTTCTAAATACGTCAAGCAGAGAGCCTTCACCCTCCTGAAAAACAAAACAAAAACAAAAAAACACACATAGTAAACAGGCCACACCCACAGAACAAAGGAACATCATCATCACCTATAAATAGTAATAAAAAAAGGAGCCAAGAGAATGAACTACGTCTGGCAGGGGGAAACAGTCAAATCTTCACGGCACCATCGATCAGCTGTGCTTGTAAACAATTGACACGTGGGTGCTCCTCTGCTGATGACGTTCACGGCCGGACATTACGCAAGGGAGGGAGGAAGAAAGGTGGAGGGAAGGCATTGTCTTCCATATAACGTTGAAGGGTTGTTTATTACAGTACAATACCTAATAATAAAGGGGTCACATGAAGATTAGACACTCCCAACTTATTTCACGTGATGATTAAATACCATAACAATCCATGGGTGTGTTAGGTTAGATTAGGTTAGGTTAGGTTAGGTTTGGATATTTAATCATCACCTGAAATAAACTGGGGTGCCTAATCTTCATATAACCTGCATAAAGTCCCTCCTTCCCTCTGACACAGCAACTTTAACATGAAACAGCAAATTTTGTATGATAAACGATCTTTGTATACGACAGCATCATGTTCCAGGCAGCACCAGGATGTTTTTCACCAAGACAGAGGAGTGTGTGTCTGACGTGGTGATGCTGCTGACCGATAGTGCACACTGGTGATGAGACTGGAGGGAGGTGTGTGTGTGTGTGTGTGTGTGTGTGTGTGGGGAAAAACAATAGAAACGTACTCTACAATAGGTAACACACACAACAGGCATGGACAGGCTACAGGCATGGACTACGGAGAACAAGGTCACCACCAACCACACCAAAACCGTAGTCATACACATCAACACCGCCACCACTCCAGTGCAAGTTCCAGCAGTCACAGAGGTGCCCATCCTCTCCAGTTAGTGCAGTCTGCCAAACTCCCTGGGTGTTACCATAGACCAATGGACTAGGCCCATGTAAACAACACAATCAAGGCAGCCTCAGTACCGACTCTACATGCGACGACGACTTAGGTCACTTGGGACACCCACGCCAGAGCTGAGGACCATCTACAACGCCTTTATTCTCCCCAAACTAACGTATGCGTCACCAGCCTGGTCGTCTTCTCTCAACTCCACCCAACAAAGTCGGCTAGAGAAGGCACAGAAAGGGCCTGCAGAATCATGCCTCGGCGCAGAATATCGGCTACATCAACGCTCTCTCCACCTGGAAATGCCATCCTCAGTGACCTCCACCACCAAGCACTAGCAATGTTTGGCAGTGGACTACTGCACCATCCTCGTCATCGCCACCTCCCTGCCAGCGATATCCCCACCCACCTCACGCAGTCCGCCACTGCAACAAAATTCAGCCCTAAAGCCCGCACTGATAGATATAAGAATAGCACCATCCATCTATTGTTAAAATAATAAACAACTCCTGATTTATAGTAGTACATCCCTATAAATGTATTCAACGCATATCAATATGTCTAAATCAAATGTAAGTTTGCATATTTTCAGCCACCGGCACCGCTCTATTAATAAACCGTTTATTATTATTATCACACACACACACACACACACACACACACACACACACACACACACCAGCCTCTTCAGCAATGGCGTGTCATGAAAGGAACAAGTGTTGGTGCATGACGTCCAGAGAGAGAGAGAAGGGACAGGTGGGAGGTAAGGGAGGAGTGGCAGACAGGAACACCCGGGGGCTGCTTGAAGAAAGGGGGAGGTGGAGACAAAGGGACTACTAAGGAGGAGAGAGAGAGATAATAATGAAGTAAAAGAAGGGGGGAGGACGGAGAAGAGTCACAAAAGAGAGGAGGGAGAAGTGAAAAGGATTACGAAGAAGAAGGAATGGGAGAGGGAGGAGGAAGGAGACGAGACGGTGAGGACAGTAGGTAGTAATCGGCTGCAGGTAAGAGGGCTCAGGTGAACACTGCGCGGCCATCAGCTGATTGTGTTGTATGGTGGAGGGAGATGGGGGGTGGAGGAGGTATGGGAGGAACCTGAGTGTAAGAGGGGAGAAGAGGATGAGATTGAGAGGATGATGGATTGGGGAGGAGGGAGCAATAGAAGGAAGACGAGAAGAAGGAGGGGTGGAAGGATAGAGTGAAGTAAGAGTAGGAGGGTTGGATGTGTCCCAGGTGTTCACACACACACACACCTGAGGAGACTACGAATTTGGTCCATTAATCAGACACACTATTTATTTTTCACTGTGTGTGTGTGTGTGTGTGTGTGTGTGTGTGTGTGTGTATATGTGTGTGTGTATGTGTACGACCACCTGACCCAATCGTGCTTTGGTGAGGCTATTTACGTCTCCCTCCCTCTCTTGCTCCCCCCACCACCCTCCAGCACCCAGACACTCTCACTCTCAGTCCAAGCGGTACATCACGGCCTGAGGGAGGAGGAACCCTTCCCCAGCCCGTCTTCCTCCCTCCCCTGAGACACACCTAACTCCCCACCTCTTCCTCACAGTCCTATCTCTTTTTCAACCCCCTGTCCCTCCCCCACATCCCTGCCTCCCCCACGCCCTGCCTCCCCCACGCCCCTGCCCCCCCCACGCCCCTGTATCACCCTCATACCCCCCCACCACACGCTCCTGGTTCTCCCTCAACAGCTCCCTCTATCCCTCCCCATACACCCCTGCCACTCCTCTACAAACCTGCCTCTCTCACCCCCCCCCACTCACTGCCTCCGCCCTCTCCCACACCACCCTCCCCCGCCCTCAGCCCGCCCCACACCCTCGATGAGTCAGGTGACCCAGATTACGGGTCGTGACACACCTGAACTCCGACATTCGCTCACACCGCCCCCGCTCAGGTAAATGATAGTTGCCCATCAGGATTACACTGGATGATTGAAGGAGGAGGGACAGGTAAGCCAATCAGGATGACAAAGGATGGACGGAAAGAACAATGGTAGGAACAGGTAAACACAGTAACAGTTCACCTGAAGATTAATCGCCACAGCTTATTTCACCTGATGATTAAACAAACCTAACTTAACCTAACGCATCCTGGAGGTTAGGTTAGGATATGTTGTTGGTTATATTGTTATGTTACTGATGCTGGGTAGGGTAGGGTAGGGTAGGGTAGGGTAGGCGAGGAGAGGGTATGGTTGGGAGGTTAGGTAAGGTCAAGTCAGGTCAAGTTAGGTTAGGTTAGGAAATTTAATTATCAGGTAAAATAAGCTGGGGTTTATAATATTCACCTGATCCACGGTAGCTGTAGTAGCCAATCAGGAGTCGGACTAGAAAGACAGGTACGGGTGGTGGGTGAGGTGAATCAGGGTTTTAAAGGGGAAGGGACAGGTAGTTATAAGAACAATCAGGATGCAGGTGAAAGGAAAGAACCGCTGGGGTGAATCAGAGCGTTTGAAGGGGGGAGGGACAGAATGGCGGCGTGACGAATCAGTGCACTCACCAGAACGGAACAGGCGGCGTTGGACCAATCAGAACGCTTGTTAGGGCAGACAATTGGTAAGGATGGAAAGGAAATTCAATATATGTGACTGGACTACAGGAGCGAGTGGGCCGGATGAGAGGGTAAATGTCAGTCAGAAGGCTTGGTAACGCTTTGAGGACGATGGTTTAACACTTTGAGGACGATGGTTTTACCCTTTCAGGACGATGGTTTAACACTTTGAGGACGATGTTTTAAGCCCTTGAGGAAGATGGTTTTACCCTTTGAGGACGATGGTTTTACCCTTTGAGGACGATGGTTTAACTCTTTGAGGACGATGGTTTAACCCCTTGAGGACGATGGTTTAACTCTTTGAGGACGATGGTTTAAGCCTTTGAGGACGATGGTTTAACCCCTTGAGGACGATGGTTTAAGGCGACAATGGGCAAAACCGAGAATACTGGTATACAGAACCAAATGGGTAGGTGGGAGACGAGGCCAATCAGAGCGCGTGTTACAGGACAGCTGGGAAGGGGCCAATCAGACCATGTGTTACAGGGTTCACAAATTCACATCAGACACACCAAAGGGTCACAAAAGATCAGCAGAAAACCCCAAAGGATCAGTTTATCCTTGACGTTGGACACACACACACACACACACACACACACACACACACCAGCCTGGTCACCTGAGTTTGTGGTACAACTCCTGCAAACTGTGGTACACTTTAACACTCGTGGTACGCAAAACTGTGGTACACTTTAACAGCGCGGTGCAGTTGGTACATAATGTGCAACACGGTACATTTCTCTCTCTCTCTCTCGTTTATATTGATCTTGCAGCTATATTGTCATGACGTCCCATTTTCTTTCTCAATTTAGAGGATATTATTTTGTGTGTACCATTTGTAATACTTGTAACACGGGGCACGTCAGAAACCTGTTGTGTGTGTGTGTGTGTGTGTGTGTGTGTGTGTGACTGTAGCTGGGTCGGTCGGTCGGTCGGTACTTGGGGGTGATCGGCCGGGCACTCGCTGACATTTAACACTACCGGTACTGTTTTTTTCCCGCTAGTCTCATAACATGTTGGGGGAGGGAGGGGTCACCTCATGGTCAGGTCCCGCTAACAGTCGTGTAATGTAAAATGTCACTTGTCTGCTCCAACAAACTGTCGCAATTCCGTTAAGGAGTGTGACTGTATTGTACAATATCAGGGTTAGGTTAGGTTAGCAACAAGTAGGGGTCACTTGGAGATTACACACCTCAGATTTCTTCGCCTGAAGATTACAGAACCCAAACCTAACCGACCGATCATAATCTAACGTAACGTAACGTAACTTGAGGGGGAAGATAAGGTTGTGATACCTTACCTTAGGAGGAAAACATGGTTGTTATGCGCTATGCGTTACCCGAGAAGGAAGACGATCGCATAAGGAAAATAATAATAGAGACTCACCTTTCCTGGAGAAGTTGGGGAAGCGCCATCCTCTCTTCTCTATTTTCTCCCGGACGCCCCCGAGCCTCTCCTTGAAGCCTCGGCCCCGCCCTCCCGACGGCCTCCTCATCATGGCTTCTTTCAGGTCTAGAGACTCACACTTCACCAGCCGCCCCTTGTTCTTGGGCGACTTCTCGGTTTTGGTCTCTCTGTCCTTCTGGGTTGAGCTGCTGCTTTGGGAAAACCGCCCAAAGCACGACTCCCTGCGGTTGGTGGGCGAGCGTGGGCGTGGCATGTCGTAGTTTAAGGGGTTCGGTTCGCAAGAAGAGTCCGAAGCCGAAACGGTGAGTCCAGAGTCCGGGGAGGCGGTGCCATCTTGGCCGCTGGGTCTGATGAGGGTCTCCACGTCCAGGTTGAGGGCAGACAGGACCCGCCGGTGACCTGCTCGAACTCTCTCGTACTCGTCCAGGACTTCTTCTACAAGCGAGCGTCGTGACCACGTTCCTCGCCAGGTCTCGGGGATCTCCTCGTAGATGTTCTCGGAGGCCAGAGAGCCGCCATAGCTGTCAGAGTCGTCCATGGCGGCCTGGGCGCGGATGACGTCGGCTGGACACAAGATCCCTTCGCCTGCATAGGAGTAAACACCGTCTTCCTCTTGCTGCTGCCGTTGCTGTTGCTGTTGCTGTTGTCGCCGCTGTTGTCGGATAACGAAAGGATTCTTGGCGGCGAAAGTGTGCGACGTTTCTGAAGGTTCTCGGGAGCCCATCACCACAAAACACGTACCATCCTCCTGCTGGGAGGACGAAGTGCCAGGCTTGTGAGGGCACGGTGTGTCCGGGGAATGTGGCCGCAGGAAACATGGGTCTTCGTCCCATCTTCCGGCAGGCGGCGGCGTGGGCATCGGTTCCCGAAGACCCATGAGCGGCATGGACTGGTGGCCATGAGGGTGGAGGTGGAGGCGACGAGGTGGAGGCGGCGGGAGTGGCGGGTAGGGAGGGAAGGTGTGGTGGTGATGGTGGTGCCCCCGCAGCCCCGGCGCAGTTCCCCAGTACCCGGACCCCTGGGGCAGTGACAGAGGCCCGGAGAACGGCCCACTTACCATGCCCAGGAGCGACCCACCTGACGGCACCCCCGGGTGTCTGGGCGGGGTGCCGTAGTCATGGACGTGGTGATGGGTGTGGGTTGGGTGGGCGGGTCGCAGCCTGGGCGGGGGCGAGGCGTAGCGGGCTGAGTAGATGGTGAGTTCCGGCCCCAACCCACCCTCCATCACGCCCACGGCTTTACCATCACACCTGCAACAGATACATCAACAGTTAACCAACAGTATTGATACACTACAACGGATAAATTAACAGGAAACCAACAGCACCACCACCTGAAGCACCTCACACAACTGTACAGTATCTCAACAAGTGTCACACACCGTAAAGACGGGCGGCTTACTAGAGCAGTAACAAGCTCTGAAAATATTACACCTGCACCGCCACGCTCCACCATCACTCTCTCACGCCCACAATAGGGACGAACACGTAACACTTAAGCACAATAACGCATCCTGATACTGTGAGTCACGGCTCACTGTGTGTATGACAACAACGAGGCAGAGGTTGCTATCAAGTTGAAGTAATCCCGAGTAATAATAATAATAATAATAATAATAATAATAATAATAATAATAATAATAATAATAATAATAATAATGATAATAATAACAATAATAACAATAATAATGATGAAAATAACTTTCCACTCACTCTCTCTCGTGTACAATGTGCTTCAGGAAGTACTGTACACTGTGTCAGGAGGTGTAGTAAGTGTTACGGGCGGGTAAGCGTCAGGCACGTCACAATGAGGCGTCACGGCCAGTGCGTCACCACTACAACTGATGCGATACACATGCTGCTCTTGCGTCACAACACCCTCACGTGACACTCCACACCACCATCATGTGAGAGTCATACTAACACACTACAGTAAGCTAAAGTTTCAGTGCACTTTCGAGGCCATTTTAGACCTCCTCTCCACACATCCTGTTAAGGGAGAGATTTATTGTGAACCTTGTAAGAACCTGACATTTTCTGGGCAAGCAAGGAACTGACCGTGAGAGGAGGAGGGGAAAGGACGAGGAGGAGGAGGAGGGATAAGGTGGAAGAGGAGGAAGAAGGAGAAATATGAGGAACAGGAGGGAGAGAGAAGGCGAAAGAGGATGAACAAGGAGGAAGATGAAGAAGAGGAGAGGCAGAAGGAATAGGAAGAGGAAGGAGGACATGAGGATAAGGAAGGGGTGACGAAAAGGAACAGTAGGTAGGAAACAGGAGTAAATAAGGAGCACATTATACCCACCTTTAACTGTATCATCAACAGACCGAACCTTAACAGTTACCACACGACTACAACCCCGAGTTCGAACCCCTGGCCAGAGTTGTATTAATCATGGGAAGGAGAGGAGAGGAGAGGAGAGGAGGGGAGAACTTGAACCACACACCCCCCATCCCCCGTCCCATCCGATCCCTCACCCTCTATCCCACCCCTTCCTCCCATCCCTTTACCCCCTATCCCATCCCATCCCTCTACCCAAGTGTGAACGACTACCGGTTAGACCAGGAGAGAGGGTAAGCCGCAAGTGTTGAGTCGTATTGTACTGGTTCAAGCTACCGGGGCGTCGCGTCGTACTGGTTTAACCTGGAAGGGAAGGGGGAGGGGGAAGGGGGGGGTATCGCATTACATTCCCTATGGTCAGGTGAGGCATCAAGGTTACTGCAATCATTTCCGACGGTCGTAACTCACCCTAAGAGCGTTTTTCGTCAACACTGAACACTAATATGACTCGGAAGCCAATAAACTTCCCTCTCAAAGCTATAAATGGAGTCACTCACAAGAGATAACTGCAAAGAATTGGTCAATGGCTTCGTTTATTAGCACTTGAAATAGACATCGCTCCCTTGTAAATAACATGTATCAGACAGATCGGTAAAACTCGGCCACGGGGTTGACTAAATACAGCCAAAAATCATGTGAAATCATATGTTTGAATTCTATATATTCCTTGAGGTAATTTCTGTACCGTAAAGGATAAGAGAGCTAATTACCTTTAAGCCTTCCCACGACTTGACTTCCTTGGCCACTCAGGTACCTTGACCACCCATGCATATTATCCACTTAGGTACCTTGGCCACTCAGGTACCTTGGCTTAATGACTGATTAACATACGGGCACACCTGGGTATACTTCTTGTTAACCTCTAGTATAAGTAGTACCACCTTAAGACCACCACCATACTTAATTGAAACACCTCGAGAGAGAGAGAGAGAGAGAGAGAGATTATTAAAGTACTCATCTTTATTTGCGATTAACCTTGTTTGTACGACTCTCTCTCTCTCTCTCTCTCTCTCTCTCTCTCTATACTAACAATGTAATACACCATGAACAAAAGATGGAACAATGAGTAATACAGATTAATGAGAACTTTTCGAAACAGTCAGGACCTCCACCACTCTTGACACAACACAAAGACTTTCCGGAGAGAAAAAAAAAACAACACTATAAAATTGACGTCACGAACTGCGGCGATTTAAATGGACTAAAGAGTCGCCCCAAAACCAGGGAAATTAATTTGTAAGAGTCATGTAAACTGTGCATTGGCTGTGTGTGTGTGTGTGTGTGTGTGTGTGTGTGTGTGTCTGTGTGTGTGTGTGTGTGTGTCTGTTTGTGTGTGTGTGTGTGTGTGTGTTTGTGTCTGTCTGTTCGTCGTCTTGTCTCTCTCTCTCTCTTTCTCTTCTATATTTTTCTATCTGCTCCTGTCTGTCTGTCTGCCTGTCACACACACACACACACACACACACACACACACACACTACATAACCACAAATAGAATCAGTTGCTCAAGGATCAGCTTCACTTGACCTGGCACTTGAGGGCAACACGTGACACTAACGGACTAACCAAGGTACGGCACCAGTGATCCACATCGTGTTCCTCTCTCTCTCTCTCCTCCCTTTATTCTTGTTTAAAATACTCTTTGTTTCGTCTTCCCCCTCCTCGTACGTCTCCCTTTATTCTCTGTTCTTCTTTCCTTTTCCTTATAACTATTTTTAATTTTCATGTCTTTTCTTAACTTGTATCATCTCCCTTACACAAATTCTACCTCCCATTCTCTCCATCACATTATTCCTCCCTCTCCATCCCTTCCTCCCATCATGCTGTCCCCATTTCCATCCCCTCACTCCCCCCCTCTCCCCTTATCTCTACCTCCCACCAGCTGAGGTCTCTCCTTCCTCCTTCCATCCCTCTCATCTGCTTATCCCCTCCCTCCCACATTCCACTCCCTCCCTTTCCCACTCAGTTATTCCGTCCCTCCCTCTCTCACTCACCCACTCCCCCCACTCCCCCCTAAACAACACTATTTACCTTCCAGTCTTCATTTTATAAGACTCAACGTTAAAAAACAACAAAGAAAACCTTGTAAAAACGAGACAGGGGCATTGTTCCACAGACAGCCTCGGGCGGGACAAAGACCGGGTAAATCTGGGTCTGTGGGTTTCTGTGCGACTGCTTAATGTTGTGTGTGTGTGTGTGTGTGTGTGTGTGTGTGTGTGTGTGTGTGCGCGCAATATATAAAAAGTGATTTTTGTATATGTCTGGAGAGAGAGAGAGAGAGAGAGAGAGAGAGAGAGAGCAGGTAAGTATAGAATCGTTCAAATAGGGGATTAAAGTTTTCCTGGTGTGGGACCTTTACTTCCTCTCCTCGTCTTTTGGGTATTTATTTTGTTTATCTATTTTCTTACCCAACATTTATCTCTCTTTTTTTCTTTCCTGTCCATTCATATATATGTGTACATACAGTTGCGACATGGTTAGGTTAGGTTGAGGTTACACACACAAACACACAAGCTGACACATTTCTTGGCCTCCTCAGCTCAAGGATAGCTGGAGATGACTCACGCCCTACGACCCCCCCTGTACCTGCCTGCCTCCTTCACGTCCTATCCGCCACGCCCCCAATACCTAATAACTGTGGGCGTGGTGCTGTATGGGCGTGGTGGAAATGATTACGCAAGGAGAGTGTGTGTGGGCGTGTGTGGAGAAGAACACAGACACACCCTTTTCCTCCCCCCGCCCATGCCCTCCCATTCACTATCAGCATGTCAATAGGGACTGTCCTGTGGGCGTGGTATATAATGTTTACACCAGACGAGGATAGTTAAGGCAGGAACCTGATACCCTCCTCCTCCTCCTCTTATTCCTCCTCTTCATCCACTCCTCCTCCTCTTCCCACTCCTCCTCCTCCTCTTCCCCCACTCCTCCTCAGTCAGTAGGTCAGCAGGAACTGTCCTAGGTAGAGCCTGAGGCGAACACTTTTGGTTTCCTAAGCGGACCTGACCCAGTTACCTCAGTCCCCCCCTCCTCCCCACACCCTCCCTACCTCCGCTCTCCCTCACCACCATAACAAACACCTGAGTGACCGCCAGCCACTCCCCCCTTCCCTCCAGGGGACAATCCCAGGTTGCTATAAGTGGCATTCCAAAACCTCAGTTCCTTTGTGTGTGTGTGTGTGTGTACCTCGTCGGGGATCTGCTTTGAATGTGTCGGGGGCGTGGGAAAACAGGCGAAGAAGCACACACACACACACACACACACACACACACACACACACACACACACACACACACACATTGTCATCAATACCAATAATAATTTCCACTCACCTTTACAGAGACCGGGCCGTCAACATTGATTGGAAAAGAATTCTGGGTTCGCCAATCAAACCCGTTATCAATCTCTTCTGACAAATTAGATTTGCTTTGACCCTGAGTACGATGACTTTCAGCCCTTGAGTACGATGACTTTCACCCCTTGAGTACGATGTCTTTCACCCCTTGAGTACGATGACTTTCAGCCCTTGAGTACGATGACTTTCAGCCCTTGAGTACGTCGACCCCATGAATATAATTAATTAACCCATCGAGTACGATAAATTGACGCCATGAGTACGATAACTTGACCCTTGAGTACGAATACCGTGTCGTCGTACTTTATAAATTTGTCATGGTATTCATAAGGCTAAATTATCGTACTCAAGGGGTTAAAACATCTTACTTTATGATTTAATTAACTGTACTCACTGTGTTGCGATAGTACTCACGGTAACCTAACCTGTGTTGGGATAGTACTCACAGTGTTGGGATAGTACTCACGGTGTTGGCAACGTACTCTAGCGGGTTGACAACGTACTCATGGTGTTGGTAACGTACTCAGGGGGATGGGATCGTACTCAGGGGGTTGACAACGTACT